CAAAAAGGGATATCACTGTCTTATGATTTAACAAATAGTGTGGCTTTGCTAGGCGGGATGTGAGGGTGTTTGGAGCTAGGAGCAGGGGGGGGGGTGGGGTGGGCAGTGGGGCCTTCTACACCATCGTGTGTTTTATCACCGACATCGCACAGACCCGCTGACAGATAGCAGCAGCCTGATTTAGACCGGCCTCGCCCGCACCCCTCCGTGTGGGGAATCGAACCCAGGGCCTTGCTCATTAGTTTTCCTGCCTGTGATGCTGGCTCTGCGCCCCCTGTTGCCGGCCCTGGGGAGGAACGCCCCTCCCATTTAGTATGAGACCAGTGAGAAACCGGGGAGTCCGTTCCTCCTCCCTCCGTGCAGAGCTGGAATCCAAAGCCCCAAGACTGCGTCAAAGGCGTCCTTTCGCAGGCCCACGCGCTGTGGCTTCTCTGGCACCCAGCTCCTCGGGAGGACTGTCCGCCTCTCCTGGCTGGAGGCTGGAGGAAGGAGGCCTTCCTGCCGGGCTCGCAGGCCTCTGCATAGGACCCCACCAGGCTGGGCCCTAGTTCCGTCGCAGCCGCTAACCCCGCACCAGGCCAGCCAGTTTTCGGGGGCTTACTCGGCCTACCGTACCGCTTGCGTGTTTGGTGAGCTGCGCCTCAGTGTCCTCTGGGCCGGGGAAGGGGCGTCAGCTGCGGAGAGGGAGTCACCCCTGAGGACCCCTCTTCCTGCTTTGCTCTGATTAGACTAGTATTTGCCCCTGGGGACTGGCTGGGTTGGGAGTGTCAGGCAGGAGGACGGAGACAAGCCCGGACAGGCAGATGGGGGAAGCTGGCCCCGGAGTGGGGTGTGTGTGTCGTGGGGCAAAGGTCAAGGATGGGGGAGGCGGCTCCAGCAGGCCAGCTGCCTGTAGTACGGCCACCACCTCCAGGAACTGCAGGGATCCACGCGGGCCTGGGCTGGGTCGTGGCTTGCCATCGGGCTGGGGAGCGGCCAGAGGGGGTAAGGGCCTCTCATGGGGAGGTTAATTCTAGGTTGGGAGCCAAGGTCTCTTTCTGGGACGGAAGGCAGTGTCATGAAATCAGGAGGGATCCATGCAAGGTGACGGGAGCAGCAGGCGATGGTGGGTCAGGTGAGGTGCCTCCTTTGGCTGGCCTCTGAGGAAGGAAGGGAAAAGCCATAGCATCCGCCTCTGTCGGAGAGAGCTGTCTTGGGAGAAGCCAGTGAAGTGGCTGGGATGCCGAGGGAGCCAGGGAGCCCACGGCCTTCAGCCAGAGCGCGGGGAATTCGCAGCTGGGGAGGAAACCCTGGGACGCCTGGCCTTGGGTCAGGCTAGCTCTGGACCTCTGTGAAGTTATTCCTTGGTTCCTGCTTTCCAAGAGGAGTCCAAAGACAGAAGTGCTACCTGAGCTGGCCCCCAGAGCCCGGGGAGGCTCCCTGACTGCAGGCCCCTCGTGTCCATGGGGGACTCTGGGCAGAGCTGGGCGGAGGGGCAGCCCCTGGCGTCCAGGCTTCAGGGGGTCTAGAGACCACTCGGTACACACAGCCGCTATTAAAAAATTACATTATGTAAACGTGTAATTAACCAAATTATTTTAAAAACAAAGGTAACATATAATCACTTCATAATCATCACCACATTGTACTGTTATCTGTGCACTTGAAAGCATGGATCTACCGTATCTTTAAAACAGACTGCAGTGCCCCCCCATCTCCCCCCTCCCCCGCCTTCCCCTCCAGTGGCATCGCCTGGGCGCTGGAAAGCTGACGAGCACCACGCTACAGGGCTTCCCCTGATCGTTCTGCTGATTGCACGAACTTGGAGTGGACAACTACAGCGCAGGCCACATCTAGCCTGCAATCTAAGAATTTGTTTTTGAGGAGGGTTGGCTACTGGGGGTGGGATGGATCAGGGACTACTGGGCTCTGTTTCCAGCAATATTTTATTTTGAGATAGATTCTCGTTTAGTGGTCTAGGCTGGGCTTGAATTACGATCCTCTTGCCTCAATTTACCGAGTAGTTGAGATTATAGGAACGTGGCATCGCACCCAGTTTGTAATAAAGGTTTTATCAAGCAGGGCATGGAAGAGCACACCTGTAACCCCAGCACTTGG